AACTGCGGAAAACAGGAACAACTAACGCATCCCAGACACGGTTTTCAATCCGCCTTCCCATTCCCCCCAAATGGCCCCGAAAACTCCAAGCAAACCCCTCCCCCCAGAGACCCCCAGGGGGTCCCTCAGAGGCCGTTCGAAAGGCCTGTACAAAAGGCGAAGCCCTCCGAGAGAACCAAACGAGGGCCCACAATTGCCCCCCAAGCGAGCCCCCACTAACCGCGATGTACCCCATACCCCAGGCCGTCGTCGTTGTCCCAAGCGTGTGCCGTAGCGCCCTCGAAAGGGTGCCTGGTGCACCAGCCCTTGAGGCGCCGCCTGGCCCCGCCAACCTGTTCCAGCTGGCCCCTCTGCGCCAGACTTTGGAAGGCCTTTGCACCCGGTGTCTCCTTCAATTGCTTTTCGGGCCGAGATGGCCGCCAAGGTCGCCCAAAACCTCCAAGTGGGTCCCGAGTTTTCAATTACTTTGTTTTGAGACGCGCGCTGAGCGGTCATGGCGCCGCGCGGCGGCGCCCAACGCCCCGAGAGGCGGCGCCCGGCTCAGGAGGTGAGAGGGGGGTTCGCCACACGCGCCCGCCACACGCGACCCGCACAGGGGAGTGCAGGACGGCGCGCGTGACGGGCAGCTGCCTCCGCGAGCGCCATTGGCAGCACACCGCATGACGGGGCGGTGCCACCCGGGGCCCAAACAACACGACTGGCCCCCATAGTGGCAATCTGCAAAATTGCCGGCCTGAGGGCATGGTCCCGAAATCCTGCTCAGGTGCGCCAAGATGGCCTCCAAAACGTCCGGCCTTGACAACTCCAAGCGACCACGCGGCTGGCAAAGAGGGCCTCTCGACGGCGCAGCACGCTTTTACGGTTCAAGAGGACCCACAGGAGGGAAGCCCCAGGAGGGAGGACCTACGATCAAACCGCCTCCCAAGAAACACAAGTCATCAACAGCCACGAAGTGGTCAACGATCTTAACATGATCGCCATCTCGGGTTCAAGATACTGGCTGCCAAGTAAAAAAGATCTTATCATGTCGCCACTTCATGAGCTTAACAGATTGCCCAAGACAACCCAAGAGACACCCAATCTAGCCCCAAGGACGTGCCAACATGGCCCCGTGGAGGCCCCAAAGGAACCCCAACCCAATCCAAGAGGGCCACAAAACGCCCCAACACGTCCCCTGAAGAGAGTACAGACTGCTCAAGACAGCCCAAGCACAGCTCATGTGCACCCCCAAAATACTCAAATATGCAGTTAGAGACATGGCCTCGGGCGTACAGGCAGAACTTGCGGCCATCTGAATCCAACAGTAACCGAAATAATGTTACGCAGATTCTCGAATACGATGCTTCGATTTTCCGTCAGAGTGAGCCCGCCCCCCCCTGCGCGTTAACTTGTTTTGCGCGTGCTGGATCAAAGACGACCTTCGGATTAGCCCTCCATTTCCCTCCACGGGCCTTTCCGGCCAATGTCGCCGACCTTCCAGCCAATCACGGGCCTTCTTCATCAAGATCGCCCAATTGATCCGAGATCTCGCTAAGAGCTCCCATGAGCGCCCAACGTGCCCCACGCAGAACCCAGACGGTCCAAGAGCGTGCCGGACGGACCCAGGGAAGCAGTCGAGAGGCCTCAAACAGACGACCGCACAAAAAAGCCTCACGATGCGCCCAACACTACCCAAGACGCTACGCAAACAACCATAGCTACGTAGTCCCAGGCTTTCCGGTCAAAGATGATCCCCCGAGCGCCTGGACCAAAATGAAATTACGCCACCGAAGAACCCCACATACTTATATTATGTTTGGAATGATGATAGCCGAAGTGAGATATGCGAGAATGATGCTGGTGGCCGTTGCCCCGCCGATACCGTTGGTGACGCTGGGCACCATATCCGCGCAAACCATCCAGATTCACTTCGGCGACTATATGTAGCATTGATTTCTTGAGTTGCTCACGCGGCGGTGGCAGCGCGGCCATGGCGCATTGGGGCGCCATGACGGGGACCGTACCTTTGACGGAAGAGTCACTGGCAATCGCCCGCGCTCACATATCGAGCGATCTGAGTCGGCATGAACCAGAGTGGCTGCAGTTCTTGATGATGATGGATGATGGATGGTGGATGTTGGATGGATGATGATGATGATGATGGTGCTGATGAGGCGTCCAGAAGGTGTCACGCTTGCTGTGAATGGACGACTGGGGCGTGTAGGCACCGCGGTGAGGGATCACCCCCTGCGCATCCCCCATGGCGTCGAGAAAATGCCACGCGTGCTGTGCCCGGACGATTGGGGCGTATAGAGACGGCGGTGAGAGACCACCCCCTGCGCACCCCTTATGGTGTCGAGAAAATGCCACGCCTGCGATGCCTGGACGACCGGGGCGTACAAAGACCACGTTGAAAGACCGCCCCCTGTGCACCCCTTATGTTGTCGACAAAATGCCACGTTTGCTGTACCTGGACGACCGGGGCGTATAGAGTCCGCGGTGAGAGACCACCCCCTGCGCACGCCTTACGGTGTCGAGAAATGCCACGCCTGCGATGCCTGGACGACTGGGGCGTATAGAGACGGCGGTGAGAGACCACCCCCTGCGCACCCCTTATGGTGTCGAGAAAATGCCACGCCTGCGATGCCTGGACGACCGGGGCGTACAAAGACCACGTTGAAAGACCGCCCCCTGTGCACCCCTTATGTTGTCGACAAAATGCCACGTTTGCTGTACCTGGACGACCGGGGCGTATAGAGTCCGCGGTGAGAGACCACCCCCTGCGCACGCCTTACGGTGTCGAGAAATGCCACGCCTGCGATGCCTGGACGACTGGGGCGTATAGAGACGGCGGTGAGAGACCACCCCCTGCGCACCCCTTATGGTGTCGAGAAAATGCCACGCCTGCGATGCCTGGACGACCGGGGCGTACAAAGACCACGTTGAAAGACCGCCCCCTGTGCACCCCTTATGTTGTCGACAAAATGCCACGTTTGCTGTACCTGGACGACTGAGAGACCACCTGTATAGAGACCGCGGTGAGGGACCACCCCCTGCGCACGCCTTGCCATGGTGTCGAAAAAGTGCCACGCGGGCGTATATGTGTCTGGACGACTGGGGCGTATAGAGACCGCGGTGAGAGACCACCTCCTGCATACCCCTTTTATGGTGTCGAGACAATGCCACGCCTGCGATGCCTGGAGGACAAGGGCGTATATACACCGCAGTGAGGTACCACCCACTGCGCACCCACCCCATATGGTGTCGAGACAATGCCACGCCTGCTGTGCCTGGACGACCGCGGGGTATACAGACCGCAGTGAAAGACCACCCCCTGCGCACCCTCTCTGGTGCCGAAAAAGTGCCACGCCTGCCGCGCTCTCCGGCCCTGGCACGCCTAGCGGCCGCCCTCAAAGACCACCCGCTCCGCCCCCCCTTGTGGTGTCGAGAATATGCCAAGCCTGCTATGTGGACGACCGTCACGGATAGCGGCCGCGCTCAGAGACCACCCACTGCGCACATCCTATTGTGTCGAAAATATGCCACGCCTGCCATTCACTGCGAATCCTACACGTATGCCTTGTACATGGCGTGTCGTGCGTACATGTATGATGCGTGTGGGGCTGTGTCTGGGCGTGTGTCTCATGTTGGTGACCAGTATGTGGCGCGTACGTCTTGGGTGTGTGATGCAGTGGGTGAGGGAGGGAAGGAAGAGGAGGAGAGGAGGAGTATGGGAGAGTAGGAAGGTTTCGAAGACGCGGGTGCGACGCGGCAAGGAAGAAAACAATAACCCCACTAAGCATGTTGGGAAGAATGTCCAAACATGCCCCCGAAGGGTTTCCGCAGGGGCCATGACTGCACAATAATCCAAAAACAGCCCATCACGACACCAAGACAGCCCCAAGAGGCCTCCAGCGCGACCAAGAAGCCCCAAGCGGCCCAAAAGAGCTGGAAGATTGCCCAGGAGTGCCCCCAGGACGGCCCCCAAGACGGCCCATTTGGGAGGTCGCCAGGAAGGCCAACGACGCCCCTAGACAATCCTTCGGCGCCCCAAAGTACGCCAATACGCTCCGATGTAGAATCCTCGGCCGCGAGGAGCCGGTGTGAATCGCCCGAGACGTCTGCGATAATCCATACGGACCTGTTACAGGCTCGAGGCCGTGGGAATGCTGGATGGACAGTCCGCCGGCATCTCCCCAGCGAGTCGCCAGAAAGCGGCGTCCGCTGCTGACGAGGAGTCAGGAGCAGCGGCTAGGAGACTTCAACAAAATCATCTTCGTGGGCGGGGGGCGCATGCCCACATGTGAGCACATACGGAGACGAGGTCCCATGGAAACGCACTACCGTGGACCCTCACCGCGCGGGCATGGGCGTGGAGCCCCCCCCGCACCCACGGAGTCGCGGCCGATCAGGCCCTGACGGCAAGGCAGTGGAAATGGACACGGTCGGGATCTTTCGGACAGCACGTCGCGGAGGCGGCCTGGGCGAGACGTGATGCCCTGCAAGCGGATCGCGTGTCGCTGCTCTCCGCGGGGCGGGAGGCTCTGGAAAACGCGGGACGTTGGCGCTGGGAGGCTGGGAAGTGGATAGGAGGAGGAGGAGGAGGAGGAGGAGGAGGAGGAGGAGGAGGAGGAGGAGGAGGAGGAGCGCGTCGCACCGGAGCGAGGTGGGCCAGAGCGGGCGGAACGACACGCTGTCCGAAAGTTCCTGACAGTACGTTTCCCGCCCGTGGTATCTCCCCTGCACACACCAGCTCGCCCGCAGCTCTCTGTGACCAGGAGCGACCTTCCTCGACTGGTGCATCGCCCAAATAAGAATCCTCTGAAAGGCGAACGGCCCATCTTGCTTGCGCTACAAGAACATCGTGGTTCTTGGAAACGACAAGCCGTTTGCTACCGATTCCCAGAAACCTGACCTTGCAATAAATGAAAGAAAACAAGACACATGTTCGCCGAAACGCAGAAATGACGGCTCCGGGATTGAAACAAGAGCCGGCACCGAAAATAACAACAAAAAAACTAAACAACTACGGAACCTGAAGCAATAACGGCGACAGACAGAATCTGGAAACACACGGCAAAAATAATGTGTGGCAAAAAACGCCCTGTCGTTTCCAAGAGCCGCTGGGCACAGGAGGCTGCACATGAGAGAAAACCCACCCAAATCGGCCCTCCAGGAAGACGTCGGACGGAAGCACTTGAGATTGGAGGAATCCACAGGGCCTCTCCTAAGGGTGTGCCTTGTTTTCCGATGTCTCCCCCCCGCCCTCCGCTGCCCCTGTCATGGCCGCCGGGAGCTCCGGCGGTCCACGACTCCGTTGGCTCCCCCGGTGGCAAAACATCGGCCCAGAGCGAAGATCCGCGAGGGACTTCGAAGGCACCGCACGCTCGTCTCTACGCGGCGGGTCTACGGAGCGCGCCAAGGCTTCTTCCGCAGCGCTGGCATCGTCACCGCTCGTCTTCAGCGCCATGTCCTCCAACTCCAACGTCGTCGCCTCTCTTCAGGGTGTGGCATGGGTCCTCCACCCTGTGGCTTCTTGCCTGCCCCTCTCCGCGACTCGGCCATCTTTTCCGCCATCTGTTGCCAACCCTCGGGCTCCCCGTGCTCTGGCGGCCTATCCCAAGATGCAAAGGCCGATGCAGAGGGCACGAGATATCTCGAAACGTAGGTCTGAAGCGAGTTCCCGCCCTGACAAAAGAAGACTGATTTAGCAAGCGAAGTGACACTGGAGCCTCTTTTAGAGGAAAAAGAACTATGCACATGCACCGATTCTGGCCAGGCCCATCCTGAGCCCAGGATCGGTGCATACGCCCTCCTACCTTGGCCAGGAAGGAATATGCACCGATCCTGGGTCAAGGATGGGCCTTGTCGGGATCGGTGCATGTGCATATTTCTCTTCGCCCGCCTCTTTCACATGGCAGGAAGAGGGTCTGGCCCTGACAGGGATCTGACTTGCCGTACGAGGTGCGGCGCAGCCGGCCTGAGGCAGAGCACGACCTGGCCAGACCCTCCTCGTACTCCTCCTCCGCCAATCCACTCTCCCTCCTCGCTTCTTTGAAGGGGCCCCAGGACACACAAATAAATACACACAAATAAAAATAATCCCCGTATTTTCCCATATTTTCTGGGTTTTTGTCTTCCCCCCCAATTCCCATATTTACCCATATTTTCCTGGGGATCGTCGATTAATTGTGTCTGTGTGTTTTTCCCCTCCTGATTCTTTTCTGAATCGACAGCGCCTGGTATCCGCGGTCAGAAGTTGCAAGGACAAATGCATCAACCATGCCCATGTGAGAATGCGTAGAAGGAGCCGGCAAGGAAATAAAAAGGCGAAGCCCCGTGCACTTTCGATATCACCACAAGCGCTGTGAACGCATCGTTCATGGATCAAGGGCGCTGCGAATACATCGTGTGAAATAGATGTGTTGCCCATCGTCCTCAACGAGGGCGCAGCAACCCACCCCCAACGGCCAATACAAATTCCACGATGTAATCCGCACTCGCTTAGCATGGACGGTGGCTAGTTACACCTGTTCGTGTTGGGGCTGATCTCCTTGGTCCTAGAGCACGTCCCGTGCAACCAAAGCCTGGGAGCCTCAAATATAGCGGTAGGTCGGGCATGTATTCATACAGGCGGATATTCAAGAACAAGCAACAAGTCAAAAATGCGCAACAAATCACAATTGTAAAACAAATCGTCCCCAGACAATTGTTTTACAATGTGTGAAAATTCCTCCTGTAGAGGGACACGCCCGACTTAAAACTAACGGGGCTCATGCGTGCATGCAAGCCTCGGGATGCCAGGTCTGTGGGCACTGCGGGCGCCCACGAAGATGCACACCGTTCGCAGCTTGAACAGGCCAGGCGCACGACCCGCGGTGGGGCAGGACTGCCCATCATTACATCTTTTGTTGGTCAAAACTGCTGTAGCACCTGTACTAGAAATGTGGGTAGTGGCAATCAATCGCGCGAGTCACCTACTGGCAAGGATGTTGAGCTACGCGTTGGCTAGCAACTGTGCTGCGGCCTTCCCCAGCAGAGACTGCCCACCGCCACCTTTGTGAGACAGGCAAGTGCTGGCGGCGTTGAGAATGGATGTGCCAGAGCTGGGCCATACAACTACGTATTGCTCTTGCGCTTGAGCGGGGGAGTGCTGGCTGCTGTGTGCGCAACAGCTGCAGGCTGTAGAGTATGTCCCACAGCGGGGCACAATGCAGTCTTTCAAATCGGGGGGAAGCATGGACTAGAGTTGTGCGACGTGGCTGGCATGCAGCACTGGACCTATACCTCCCCCAACCAGAACCATAACGCCGCTGGAAATACGTAAGTCGGTTTCACGTGTCGCTGCGCATGCTGCTGGAAAAATCGTGGCTGCTACGGCGTGAAGAGGCTGCGTGAACTGGCTACGGTGGCACTGGGTAGAGCGTGCGTCCGTGCGTCATTCGTCCCACGGCCTATCGTCCAGCCCACACCTGCATCAAGCTGCGGCGACCAATAAGCCTCTCGCCGTCCCATTGTGGGAGAGACGTGAACCAGCGACCCCAAGTCATAAGAACGCTGGACATGGAGTGTCCCACCGTCCCTCCAAATAGTCCCAGATATCTACAAACTGGGATGGAAATGAGGAGGGGAGCGACTGATGAGATTAGCAAGATGAGACGGCTTGGAGTCATAAGCAGGTTTGAACAAGAAGAGGACCCAGAGCCCAGATCTGTCAGGTTGCTCCTGTTGCGGGGGAAGAGGATCTCAGTGTGCATGTGCGGGGTGTCGTTCTCCAAGCCAATGCCGACGCTGGCGTAGCTGGGTACTGGACGTGCGTCGGTGGATGTCGGCTGGGTTGCTGCCGACGGCTGGTTCGACTGTCGGAGTCCACTACTGTCTGCGTGCAGTGAGGCAAGGCTGGCCTGTCTGGGGGTCTCTTGGTGGTTTGGCGTCATTTGGGAGGCAACTTCTGGGACGTCTTCGTCACCGTCAGAACGATCAAAGGCAATCAAGCCCGACTGAGAAGGGGCAACGAAGCCGGATTCGGCCAGATCGAGCCCAGGATTGGCACGGACTGAGCACAGGACTGCGTCGGATGAGGCGGCACTGAACCAGATCCATTGGGATTCCATCACATCAAGCCGGTGTTCGACGAGGGGTATACAATCGGACCTGGGCCAACAAAAACATCCTTCAAAAATATGAGGCCCTCCGCCGGCCAAACCACACAGAACATCCGAGGGTGCCGCCCCCCCAAGAAGGCATAAGATCATCCAACGAGCACGAAAAGAACATCAGGGCGCCCTCCCCGACCCGACCTCGATCCGCTGCCTCGGCCCGACTGCACCAGCACCGCCTCTTCGGAGCCGCAGCCTCCCGGGAGCTGCGTGCTGGCGCCGCTGTCTTCTGCGACAGCCTGCCCTCAGACACCCCCCACCTGATGGGCCTGTTTTCCACCACCACCACCATAAGTTGGACGGGGAGGGGGTCCTCCTCCTCCTCCTCCTCCTCCTCCTCCTCCTCCTCCTCCTCCTCCTCCTCCTCCTCCTCCTCCTCTGGTGGAAAACAAGCCAATCACCACCTGCAGATCATCCTGCAGGCGGTGCCCACGAGCGGCGAGCAACTCCGTGCCAAAGTCGGGAGCGGCCAAGAGGGGGGCGTCCAAGAGGGGGGGGGTGCAAATCATGACCGGCGGCATGTGCGCGGCCCAGCGGGGGGGCCTGGGACGTAATGAAATAAGAAGAGGCGCCATGAAATCTGAGGAAAAATCATGGCCCGCGCCATGAAATCCACCCCCCCCCCTAGTCATCACCCCCCTCTTTTCCGCCCCCGAGCCAAAGCGCCCTCGCGGGCTGGATTCCGGGCCGCGGGCCCACGGATGCGCGGCCACGCGGAGGCGCCCTGCACGGGGCACCCCGCGAAGCAACAACGTCCCGTTGTCCGCGCGGCCGCGCCCCAGGGGCCGGGCCCGCGACGCCGCGGATAGGGATGTGTGTGTGTGTCTGTTTTTCGCCCGTAAACATCCGGTGGCAGCTCGTGGGAGCCTCCCGTGCCATCCTGCTGGCTCTTGCGAACCGAGGCCGTCCGGTGCAAGCCGAGGCTACATTAACGCGAATTGACGCCAGTCGACGCCAATCGGCGCCAAATCGACGCCATCTCGTCGACTACCAGACGCGCGTCGACGGTGATACACTAAACAACAGATTTACGAAAGTATACCAGGCTCCCATGATTTGCTACCGAATGCTATGTTGCATCCTCGGGGGACCTTGTCTGCTCCGTCGCAGCACTCTCTGCGTCGAAGCCGTGTCAAGTCTATGTCGGACTCGTCAGATCCGTGCCGAATCCGTGCGAAATCCGCGTCGGATCCACGCCAGATCTGCGTCGGGCACACGCGAAGGACACCACTTATGGGGGCAGGCGGGGTCCCCCGATGATGCACCATAGCGAACTTTAGAAGAAGAAGAAGAAGAAGAAACGCCATGAACAGAAACTGTTTGGCGCTTCGAACGGACTTCTTGGATCTGCGGTGGACCTCCCTCCCTGGCGCGCGGAGCGGAGGCGCTGGAGGCGCCGCAGGGGATCTGCGCCGGAGCGCCAACAAATCTTGGATCTGCGCTGGAGGCGCCGCAGGGGGGGCCCAGGGCGGATCCAAGAAATCCGCGCGGAGCGCCAACAAATCATGTTGATGGCGTCTTTTCTTCTTCGGCGAATGAGCCTCCGGTCTCCAGCTCCTGGCGGCATCGTGAGCTTCGCCGGGGAGCGGTGGCGTGGCGCGTCCTGCCCCTTGGGCGGGGGCAGAGCCCCGCCCGTCACGGCGGCCTCGGGCGCGCCGACGGAGCGCAACCTTCTGCGTCCGCGTCGTGGGGCGGTGGCTCAAATCTGGGCCGTGAGGGCCTCCCTCCCCCGCGGTCTCCTCCCCCTCCTCCCGCTCCTCCCCCTCCTCCAGCCCCTCCTCCTCCTCCTCCTCCTCCTCCTCGTCCCGCTCCTCCTCCTCCTCCACCCTGCCCCGACCGAGGATCCGCCGTATCTTGGCTGCTTCTCCGACGTGGATTGTTGCCAGCAATGTGCCCCAAACGATGCGAACAAATAGAACGGAAATTCACGCCTCGGAAGTGGAGGGCTGATCTCTCCGCAAGCGTATGGCGAAAATAGCAAGGGCAAATCGACATCAAAAGAGCTTGAAAGCACGGCGGGAGTTCCCACACTACTCACAAAATCGACCAACAGACTACGGCGGACCCGAAGTCAGGGTGGCAAAGGCTCAGGAACCTGCTGGATGAAACGCCGCTCCAAGCACTTCAGCTCGGTGGCCCTGAGCTTTTTTTCCATGCAATCATTTTCACCAGCTCTGGGACGCAGCAGTGTGGGGCAACGATAGGGGGGACTGGCACAGGGGGGGAGGCATCGTTCTGGAATCGGCGATACATCGCCGATAGATCGGCGATATGCCCCCGATCGCAATACGCACTTTCCCGGGCGGGGCGGGGCTATCAGACCCCTATCGGCGGATCCACGTGCGATCGGGGGTCAATGCATCCCCCTGTGCCCATCCCCCCCTGCCGTTGTCCCTGAAGCAAGGGATGATTTGCCGCGTCCTGAAGGCTGGTCTGCCGATAAGCCGATCATGCCAGCCCTGCACTCCGGGTCCACTCTGCAAGAGAGGGTGTCGATTCTGAGCAACGGCTGCGAAGACAACCCTCTCGAATATGTGTGATCGCAGCGAGGAGGCAAAGGAGACACAGAGTGAGCAAGCAACCCGGGCTGGTAGACTCGCACACCAAGAGAGTCGCTGGGTCCTATATCAGGTTGCACACAATTGCCCTGCGAGCCTTGCTAAGATGGCATGGCCACTGGTAGCTCAGATCACGCAATAATCGGGTATGATACAATGATGTTGTGCAAATGTTACATAGTTGGCTGGCCAACCCAAACAAAACACTAATGTCAGGCCGATCGTTGGACAGGCGAGGTCGATCTAAACGTTCTTTCGATCTGGACATTCATCACATATGTTTCCAGCGCGCAGTTGGAGAGAGAGAGAGAGAAAGAGAGCAGGAAGCGGTCAGATAGAGCCAGTGGAAGCGACGAGCAATTGCCACGCACGTGCGCAGAATTAGGACGCACGCTGCCACACATCGTGGATCTGGACGAAAGCAGGGGCGGGCAGCCATGGAGCGAGAAGTGAGCAGCACGGTTACGCAGATCCTAGGCACCCACGGTTAACCCCCGCGGCCTTTCTCTCCCACATCTGACCCCGCCTGGCAACGTTGGACTGCCATTCGCATTCGACATTGCGCATCCCTGGTCTGCCTGCTGAACCACGTCGCACCCTGAGGAAGACTCCACCCTGATGAAGCAAGCGGACTCAACAGGCCCCACATTCCGAAGTCGGGAAAATAAAGTCCAAGACTCCGTTGGCATGTCCGCAGCGTTTCCCAGAGGGCTCGCTGATAAAGAGCACCCTTGCTGGTCCACTGTGCCTGAACCTGCTCTGCAAGCCGTCCCCCCTTCGAAAAATCAATCCTGTTGGTGGCGCTAGGCGCGGTCTTGGTGACAACACTAAGGCTGTTGTCGAACATTAGCATGTCCTCTGAAGAAACATGGCCATTCAGAACCGCTCCACTGGAACCGGAGAAGAGAGGGGGATGGAGTGGGACAACACGGAACGGATCATGCGAACAAAAATGGCACCGCAGCAGCGCGCCGTGGCCAACCCCCGCAAACGCGACCATGCCGACCCTGGCAACCACGACCACGACCACAACCACGACCACGACCGCCGCGACTACGCTCTCTGCGACAGCCGACCGCCCCCGCCCATTGCCACCCCCCCTCCCTATTACAAGTTCTGGGGAAACTAGAAGGTACCGATGCCGCTACTCCCCAGACCTCTCCCTGGTTGCGTTCTGACCCTGATTTCGCGGCGAATCCAGCGGTGGCGACGATGGCCTCTCAGGAGCCCCAACAGAAGGGAAATCGAGTGGAGGGTAGCGGTGTGGGTTTCTTTTCCTTCTCTGAATTTCTGCTTGACCGGGCTGGCCCTTGTCTTGGGCGTCCAGAAACCGACAAACCAAGTGTATGGAAATCAGACCACCGACCCATATGATGCTCAATGATGTGGGCCTCCTGGGCCGGCCCCACAGGGCCTCCAAGATATCGAGAGCGCCAGCCCAGGCCACTGCTACTTCCTTGATAGAGCACGCTGTAGCTTTACACCCCCAGCCGCGCTTCCGAGGCCTCTGGGGAATCGTGCAGGGAGTCCTAGCAACGCGCGATAGCGCTGGACAGCAGCTGGATGGGGGTTAATCGATCCTAAGACTCAGGGGTGTTCCGCACACGCAGACTGTGCTTCGTCTCTCGAGAGGGAATGGGACTCATTTTCCCCAGCCAAAACGTGGATACTATATGGTAGCGTAAGAGAATCCGGCGTCGGTGACGCACGGAGTAGCCTTGGGAGGTGTTTCTTTTCTCGTTTGACTGTCTGCTACCCTGGAATCACACTGCCTGGAGATTGGGATCATTGGTGGGTGGCTCGGGGCAATGCGCCAAGCAAAGATCTCATGCGGGGGCTGGGCCTCTTGTGATCGCCTGAAGGAGGAGGCGACGGATCCGTCGTGGACGGATGCGCAAAATCTTTCTGATAAAACAATTCGGTGAAGTGTCTGATGTGCAATCAGCGCTCCGTGGACAGTTACGTAATTTTAACTACGTGTCGCGCGCATTTGGTTGGGGCGACGGCGACGGGGGATAAAGAGACAGATGGACAGCACAGAACCACGCAAAAAGGCGAACGGTGCGACAGCGACCGGCGAGGCCGCGACAAATAGACAGTTGTCTTGTTTCCGAAACTCTCCGCGCGGTGCGATGGCGACGGAGGATGGCCAGACACATGGACAGTACCTGACTGCACATGTTGGCTTGGCCATCGGTACGGCAGCGACCATCAGGGCAGCGACAGATATGAAGTTTGTTCCCCACCCACCCCGCCCAGCGCGACGGCGACGGAGGATGGTCTGACAGATGGACCCCGCGTGCGGTTGACTTACAAAAAGTGCGGCATCCAGCGGCGGCGGCTTCACGCAAGACAGATCAGCGTGATCAAAGCCCCGTACGGTTTCCCAAAGTACCACGGCCATCACGGCCACAACGGCCACCATGGCCACCACGGAGCGCCGCAAACGTCACGGGCACCACGTCCACAACGAAAACCAATACGGCCACCATGGCCACCGCGCCACCGCGGCCACCGAAGCCGCCACGGTCACCTTGGCCGCCACGACGGCCACCACGGCCGCCACGGTCGCCACGGTCGCCACGGCCACCTCAGCCACCATGGCCGCCACAGCAATTTCCCGATGGCCGCCTATGGTTACTAGCATGAGGCGCGGGCACCATAGGGAAGAGGCTCCCGCTCGAGACTTCTCCGCGATTCACTCACTTCCCCGAGATCCACTCCAAACTTGCGAATACTTGTTGAGAAAGAGTTGAGAAAGACATGCTGTATTATATGCATTCCGGGCCTCAACATGAGGAGATGCATCCCCACTGAAAAATACGCTCCCCGTACGAAGCACGCATCTAGCAGGTTACCAACAAGCCCGTGGGTCATCCGAGCACTTGCTGCGACAATCAATATGTCAATCGTATTATGAGCATCCCCGTGAGGTGATGCAGTCCCGCTCAACGCACTTCCCTCATGAAGCAGGCACCAGGCAGGTGACCCACCGGCAGGTGGGTCACCCGAAAACTCATTTTGAGAAACCATTTGTTTCCCCAGCATTCTGAGCCTGAACATGAAAAAATGCCTTCCAAGTGAATCCGTTCCCTGCATCAAGCAGGCACCACGCAGACGACCCACGGGTGTGGGTCATCCAAAAACAAATGTTGAAAAACGATGTGTCTCCCACGCGTTCTGGGCCTCAGCATGCTGTGATGCAATCCCACTGAACACTCCATGTATGGGGAAGGCACCACGCAGATGACTCACGGGTGGGTGGGTCACGCCAGAACTCGCTGCGACAAAACAGTCATTTCACTTGCGTCCTGGGCCTTGACACAAAATGTTGCAGTTCCACTAAATGCGTTTTTGGCGCAGGCACCACGCACGGGACCCACGGGCGGGTGGGCCACTGAAAAACTCGTTCAGAAAAGCCAATACGTTTCCCCCGCATTCTGGCGCACTCTCGCTCCATACGTCTCACGCATGGAGCAGGCACTGTGAACGCCGGGCGAAACAAAATCAGGACATCGTATGCCGGGAAGGGGGCGGGTCTTCTCGGAAAGCTCGGAAGGCCTCCGGCCTCCTGAGAGGTTGTCCAAGCCTTCTCCGAAGACGGGGGCGGCTACTCAGAAGGCCAGGAGGCTTCTTAGAAGTCCCGCCGCCTTTCAAATAGGAGATCGACTACAGAATTGCATTGCCCCAGACTTGCTTGTTCGGCCAATGTTTCCACGGAGCATTCCACGCATTCGTTTCGTAGATGCTGCAAGAAATCACTTCTGGGGTGATGATGAATTCTGTAATCGACCTCCCACTCGAGCCCCCTGCCAAGGCCTGCACCCCCTCGCTTTCCTGGAGGAGCAGAGAGCGGCATAAACATGAGCTGTTGACGGCCCGCGCGGATCCCTTGGGTCTGAGCTGGGCCCCCCTCCCTGGCGCGCGGAGTGCGCCAGGGGCGGCGCCGCAGGCGCCGCCCAGGTGCAAAGCGCAGAGCCAAGAAGTCCGCGCGGAGCGCCAAAAGTTTATCGTTACGGCTCAGGTCTCTTCTTCGAATCACCCACCTGCAGGCACGCTCGCGTCGTGAAACAAAAACACGGCGGGAACGTTTGTTGGCCGCTCTGGGTCTCCAGGAGCCCTCTCGGGGCCAGGAGACCGTCAACAAAACCACTCGGGATGGGAACCTGGCCCCAGGGAAAGGGTCGGGAAAATACGGCCCTGGGATGAAAGTGTATGGCCCCCGCTTTCCCGCAGCGCGCCGCCGACGCTTAGAAGCGAGAAGGACGCGTTCGGCACGGCGTGCCGTGGAGATGGCGGCCCGGAGGCCCTGCATAGGGCGCCGCCCGAGGGCAGGCTGGCGTGGCGCATCCGCGCCCCGTACGCGTCACACTCTGCGGCTGCTGCTTCTTCTTCTTCTTCTTATTATTATTATTATTATTATTACTATTTGTATTATTACTATTGCTATAATTATTCCTTCTTCCTTCTTCCTTCTCCTTCTTCTTCAGTCCTTCGTCTTTCCTCATTCTTCTTCTTCTTCTTCTTCTCCTTGATACTGTGAGTCCTGATCTGCTGGCCAACGCCAGCGCTGGCCCTCAAGATCGAGCGCCGGCCTCGCAGCCTGGCAGCGCCGGCCACACGCACGAGTGGCGCCCTGGGCAAAAATCCGCCGACACCTTGAGGTCACGGCGTGCGAGATGCTTCCCCCTCCCCAAACCCCTCCCCCGGGAGCCCGGTCCGGCCGGTTTGGAAGGGGGGGAGGGTGGGCAAAGGTGCCGGCCGCACCCTTGGAGCCTCAGGGAGCCCCAAAACAGGCCAAGACGGCCCCAAAAGGCTCCCCAGACGGTCCAAGAGGGCTACGAGTCGCCGCAAGATCGCTCCAAGACGCCCAAGATCGCCTCCAGACGGTCCCAGAGGCCCCCAAGACGCCCCGAGAAGCCACCAAGAGACGTCCCAAGAGGCTCTCCAGAAGCACAAATCGCCCCAATCTCTAGAGAAAACGTATATTTCGAGGACATTCGCCTCTTGGGCTTTCACGAGGCCCAGAACGGCCCAAGAAGCCTTTAAGATCGACCGAAGATAACCCAAGAGGCCCCCAAGAGGGCTCCAAGACGGCCCAAGAGGGCCCCAAGACGGCCCCAGAAGCTTCCAAAGACCCAGGAGTGCCCCAGGACGGCCCCAAGAGGAGGCCCAGAGGGGGAACCCGAATGAACATTTCGAGAATTTGGCCCCGGAAAAACCTGAGGAGACGCCAATAGCCCCCCAAGAGGCTCCCACGAGGCCCCCGAGAGGCGACAAAAAGGCTCCTAGAGGCCTCAAACACGGCTCCCAAGAGGCCTCAAAAGTGCTGCCAGGATAGCCCAGAGAAACCCAAGAGCAGAGCGGCGATCCGCCAACCGCCCACGACAAAATCCAAAGAAGCTGAAACCCCAAGATGCACCAGAAATCGTTCCGCAATTTCCGTTTTGTCACTCTTACTGCCGCCCCAAGGGGTCGGCGGCGCGGCGTCAGCCAATGAATTACCTCTGGTGCGAGGACCTCGCCGAGCGTTGCCTGCGGTGCGGCGCATATGCTAACCAAAGGTCACGCTTCAGCGAGGGGTGAAGATAGAGGGGCCAAGGGATACTTTATAATAAATAAATACAAAACCCAGGATTCCGCACATGTGTTGCTGTTTTATCTGGGTTTTCGTCTTCCCCCCCCCACTTACCGTATTCCCCATATGTTCGATCAGTTGTGCCTGTGTGCTGTTGTTCCCCTCCTGAGAAGAACAACAAAGGAGGGGGGAGCGGGGCAACTCTAGGGAGACCAGCCCAGAGAGGGAAGGGGGGGGGACACCGAGCTGGAGCAAGCAGTACACCGCCGACGGACCGGCGCGGCAGGTCCCTGAGAGCGAATCCGCACGAAGCTGAGCGGGTTGTGCCATCAGGCCCCTATCGTCAGGTCGGGCATGTCCTCCTACGGGCGGATTTTGGACGAAAAATGAAACAGATGCAAAAGATGTTCAGACATCTGCCAAAAAATAGGGGGACAAAAAAAACGTCCCGGATTGTGTTGCCTATTTTTGACTGTTCCTCCTGCAGAGAGGCATACCCGACTTGACCCTGTCGGCGAGGAATCGGGGATTGGGGGTCGATGCGTCCTCTCCTTGAGCCCACGCTCCCCCCGAGCGTTGAGGGGGCGGCCGCTCCTTCTCCGGGAAGCCCCCGGGCGCGGCGAAGAAGCCGGGGAAGCCCCCCGGCGCCGGGAAGGCGTCCGCGCGCACCTGCGCCCAGCCCTCCTCCCTGGCGCCAGCCCTGGTCTGGCTCGCTGTTCTGGCAGGCTCGGCCTCCGCCCTCGTCTTCCTGTCTTCTCTCCGGAGGGGGGCCTACAATGACAGCACGGGCGGGTGGCGTAAGTGGTGCAGTTGCGCCACCCCGCCCGAGCTTCAAACCCAGGCCGGCGTTGCGCGCGCGGCGCCGCCCTGCTGCAGGCTCAGGGCCTGACCGACGCAGGAACGCAGACCTCCCAGCGCCCTGGCGAGCTCACCGCGAAGGCTTTTCGACGCCACGCTTGGCCTCCATGTGCCTCGCTCTTCGGGCCCCAGGACCATCAGAAATGTATCCAGGACGGGAAGTCAGCCCGAGGAAACGGTCGGGGCATCAGCGGGACCAGGCATCGACGAGAATCACGATTTTGGGAGGTCTGGGTACCCAGCAGACCCGCAGACTCGGATCGAGCTAGACAATGGCACGTTCCTGCAACCTTCCAACGTCATCCGGCCCGACAGCGACGCTCTCATGCAATTCTCCTGCGCTCCTGCTGGGGTATCGTGACTGAGTGCGGCAAGCTCGTGTCGTGACGACCCGGGCGTTGGTTTCTGACACCGCGTGGATCGTTCAACCTTGAACGATCAGCTGTGTCCGAAGCGTCAAATCGTTCAACATCGCCCGATTCTTGGCCGCCGCCGGCGTTCAACTTTGAACGCAGGCGGCGCGGTCGCGGCTGGTCGATCGACACGACACGAACCTGCCGTGCCCATCTCGGCGGCGCCACCCCGTGCTCGCGCCGAGGAGTGCTGCGTATCCACCTGGCTGGAGACGTGCCCCCAAGGACCTCGCAGAGAGCTGGATGCGCACAATCCCGTCCCCCCCCCCCGCAGGCGGGACAGGTGCACATCCAATGCTCTACGAGATCCTCGGGGAGACATCTCAAAACAGGTGGGCATGGACAAACTCAAGGCGTGGTCTGCTCTCTCCTTCTTCGCTCATTCACCAGGTCTCGCACCCCAACCGCGATGGTCGACCGATCGCATGCTTCTTACTGTTCTGGCAATAGACGCAACGATGGCAATTATGAAACTATCAGACAATCGGGCCATGAGAGTACGTCGATCGACCGACCACCTAGGTTATGTTGAGCATCTGGGCTCTTGTCCTCGACCTATCTCTCTGTATACCCCCTCTCTGCCTTTGCATGGGCCTCTGAGCATCGCTATTGATGTGTTTGTGTTGTTGGATGTACATACATCTATATATGTGAAAAAGCGTGTTCTACCGCTGCTGGCGGAAAACCGGGGGGGGGTCACTACCGGTTCGAACCCCTCCCCCCCCCGCTCCAGAAAACCGGGGGGGACACTACCGGTTCGAACCCCTCCCCCCCCCCCCAGTTCATCATGAAAAGGGGGTGGGGGGGTCACTACCGGTTCGAACCCCCCCCCCCCCTCGAAAACCGAGTGGGGGTGCGGACAGTGGTGGGGACGGTGTTGGTGGGGACAGTGGTGAGGGGACAGCGGGACAGTGGTGGGGACAGTGGGACAGTGGGACAGTAGAGGGCTGGTAGTGGTGGGGACAATGGTGGGAATAGGGGCGGCAGTGGACAGTGGTGGGGACGGTGGTGGTGGGGACAGTGGTGTGGGCACAGTGGGAATGAGGTGGAAACAGTGGGACAGTGGAGGGTACAATGGTAGTGGGGACAGTGGTGAAGGCGGTGGCGAGGACGGCGGTGGGACAATGGGACAGAGGTACAGCGGGGACAGTGGTGGGGACAGTGGGGACAGTGGTGGGAACAGTGGGACAGCTCAGTGGGACAGCGGCGGAGTCAGTGGGACAGTGGGGACAGTGGGGATAGTCGGGCAGTGGTTGGGGCCGTGGAGACAGTGGGGAGAGTGGAACCGTGGTGGGAACAGTGGTGGGGACAGTGGGGACAGTGCGACAGTGGTGGGGGCACTGGTGGGGACACAGTGGGGACAGTGGTGGTGAGGACAGTGGTGCTGGGAACAACAGTGGAGGATGTGATGCGGACGGTGGTAGGGACCGGGAGTCGTTTGCTGGCGGTGAGTGGGGGGGTGGGAGGGGTTCGAACCGGTAGTGATCCCCCTCCGGTTTTCGATGGGGGGTGGGGGGGTTCGAACCGGTAGTGACCCCCCCCGGTTTTCCGGATCCGGGGGGGGTGGGGGGGGTTCGAACTGGTAGTGACCCCCCCCGGTTTCGAGGGGGAGGGGGGGGGGGGGAGGGGTTTAGGGGAGGGGGGGGTTTGCCGGGGGAGGGGGGGGGGGTTCCAGCAGGGAGGGGTGGGGGGGGGGATTTTCGGAGGGGGGGGGGGGGCCCCCGCTACCGGAGGTAAAGGTTGGCAATTTTCCACAGTAAAGCGGCGGTGGATCACGCTCTCTCATATATGTATATGTATCCCCCTGTTCCTATCCATGTGTAAATGTATATATATATATATATATATATATATATATATATCGACACCCAGATTTATATATAAAGGATTTACTGTAATTAGACAGGTGTATATGTTTGTGAGATCGACTCTCTCTCTCTCTCTCTCGCTTTCTCCCTCCTTTCTCTGTATCAGTATCCCTCTCTCCCTCCCTCTCTCTCTCTCTCGCGCTTGAAACGTGTGTATATCTACTTTGTATGTGTATATGCAAACACACACACGCGCGCACCGTGCTCCGAGACGCGAATTGGATTGTCCTCACTTCAGATCCTCCAGCTCCTCTGCATTGAGTATTGTACTGCTGTTTAGAATGCTCGCAGCCCTGATTGCCCAGTACTCCTGGGCGCTCTTGGGGCATCCGGCGTGCCTCCTGGTGTTTCTCGCTTGGTTTCTCTTGAGGCCAGAACCGGGCCCAAGACGGGACGAGAGGGCCCCAAGAGGCTCCCGAGACAGGCCGAGAGGTCCCCGAGACGGCGCAGGTGCGCCCCGAGACGCCCACGATGGCCCAAAGGCGGCCCAGGAGGCCCCCACGCACGTGAGTCCTTTCTGATTCGGCGTTTCGACACTGGGCGGAGGGAGGGGGGGAGGGGGGGGGCTCTGGCTCTGGACCTCTGCCGAATGCGGCTGTTTGCAACGAGGCGTCCATTATGGGGGAGGCCCCGCCTGCTCGAAACAGGCGCCAAAGAACAGCCAAGATCCAAGATCCACTCCAGGGGGGGAGGGGGGGAGGGGGGGTTTTGGGGCCCGCGCCGATCGTCAAGACAAGGCATACGAACAACGATCACCCCTAGAGGAGGGCTCCCGTAGGGCCCCCCAGGACAATCAAGTGGCACGCGTGCCCTGGCTCCTGAGCGGGAGGGGCCGCGGCCCTAGGGGGGGGGAGAGGCCAGGGGAGGCCGGGGCCGAAGCACCGCCAGCGAACGAGCCACGAGCGGCGGAGTCAGGGGAGAGGGCCTGGGGGGGGGGGGCGACGAGGGCAAAAACAGGCCCAGAGACCCAAAAGATAGAAAAAAACAAGTCGGAAGCTTTTCTCAATTTGCTGTCTGTAGGGGCCCTCGCCGGGCCCCAAGACCGTCAAATAACGACTCAAGATGAAACAACCGGGGCTCAGGAATGGGCCGAGACTTGAATGGACCCCGTATGGAACAAAACACGACATCGGATCTTCGGGGGGGAGAGGATGAACGCCAACTGCTCTCGTCAACACAGGGGCTCTGCCAACACAACTCGGGAGCTCAAACACCGAGCGGGACGCAGGGGAGCATTGCTGCTTGGACGAGAAGAGAAGAGCAGAAGGGTAATATCATAATAGGTGTCCGATTGACTGGTGCTACGTCTTGGTAGTACGTGCAATCCCGCCCGCATATGTGCTTGCAAATGTCTCGCTCTGCTGAAAATCATGCAAGCGGTCCCCGTAGTCGCCGCCCTCTGCCAACACACATCAGAAGGCCTCCTGCTCTGTTCTCCATGGGAAACGCTTCATCTTCCCGCTCATCATTCGGTTCCTGTGCTGCTGTGGTGTAAAATTCCCACGTGTCTAAGCGTCCGTCGGCACCGAACGAGTGACTTCGGGCATCGCGTTCCCGTACGGATCGCCAGGGAATTGGCCTGTGCCATAGCCAGCGTCCCAAGAATATGACCTGGCCCGCACGCGCTGCAACTCTCACGGCGCACGCGGCCTTGCCGCCTACCACTGCAGAGCTGCACGATGTGCCCATGTGCGTCGAAATCTAACAGACTCGACGGAGAAGTGGAAATCTCGAAACGTCATTGGCCAAAGATGGAAAGATCGTGGAGGCTTCCACGGGAATCTCGCGCACGCCACCACCTGCCACTCTCTCCGCCGTCAAAGCTAGGATATGTTTCCTGTTTCCCCATACTGTCCCTGGCACTCAGGGAAGTTTGCTTCACGTTTGGCAGAATTCGGCGGCGAGCGAAGGGGGGAACTGAAAAGGAGAAGGCCTTGTCAGAAGGAGGCGGGACTTCTCAGAAGCGTCCGCGCCTTCAGAGAAGCTTCTTTGTCCTCGGGGAAGGCCCAGAACACTTCCTAGAAGGCCGGGGGACTCCCGAGCCTTCCGAGAAGGCTTTCTCCTGCTCACTTCCCCCCTCGTCTGCAGCCGATGCACGGGGGGGCCCTCTGGCTTTACTGGGGCCCAAAAACGGAAGATGGAGGGGCCCAGCAAGAGGCACCCTGAGGGTAAAGAGCAGGAGCAGGAGCAGGAGAAGGAGAAGGGGGAGGGGGAGGAGGAGAAGGAGGGGGAGGAGGAGGAGGAGGAGGAGGAGGGAGGAGGAGGAGGAGGAGGAGGAGGAGGAGGAGGAGGAGGAGGAGGAGAAGGAGGGAGAAGGAGGAGAGGAGGAGGAGAGGAGGAGGAGGAGGAGAGGAGGAGGAGGAGGAGGAGGAGGAGGAGGAGGAGGAGGAGGAGGAGGAGGAGGAGGAAAAGGAGCAAGAGGAGGAGGAGGAGGAGGAGGAGGAGGAGGAGGAGGAGGAGAAGGATGAAGATGAGGAGCGTCCCTAATTCCACCAGGCCTCTGGGCGCAGGTGGTCTAACGATGTCTTTATTTCCTCCTGCAAAAACCCGTCCGCCCCTTCGGGGAGGGGCCCCTCCCCCTACCTCCTCCCCTGGACCTGGACGGGAGGGGCCGCGACCCGTTGGAGCATCCAGAATCGTGGCCCCCGAGGGGGGGGCGCCGATCGGGGACCCTGCCTCCTTTGATCGATAGCCTCGAAGATGGCCCTAAGAGGCGCTCCAGGGCTCCCAAGAGAGCCCCAAGAGGGCTCCAAGAGGGTCCCAAGAGGGCCCCAAGAGGCACCCGAGAGGCCCCCAAGAGGCCCCCGAGCGGTCTCAGAGAGCCCAAGCTGGCTCAAGATCGCTCCCACGATGCTCCAAACAGCCCCAAGACCGCTCCAAGAGCACCCAAAAGCGCTTCAAGAGAGCCCCAAGAAGCGGTTTGCCGGCTCCTGAGGGGGGAATTGAGTTGGGGTCCCCCCCATCCTGTAACTGATGGCCTCCAAGATGATTCCAAGAAGCCTTCCATGGTTACCAAGAGGGTTCCAAGAAGGCCCCCCAAACTCCCAGAGAGCACCAACAGCAACAACAGCAACCGCAAGAATACCTCTAGATGGTTCCGTGAATCCTCGTCCGCGTCGTCATCATCCTAGTCCTCGTCCTCCTCGCCCTCGTCCTCATCCGCGTCCTCGTCCTCCTCGTCCTCCTCGTCGTCGTCGTCGTCCTCATCCTCCTCCTCTTCCCCTCCCTCGCCCCCGCGCGGCACCCAGGGATGGCCCGAAGAGACCTTCCGAGGCCACCCCCTTGCTCGCCTTGTTTCCCTAGATGTGTCTCTTCGTCCCTTTTCCCGTCATTTTTGAAGGGCAAGGTTTCTGAACGGGCTGGTGGGGATACTTGTTTGAATCGCAAGCGCACCCGGAGACGCCGGACGCCGTCCGAGAGTCGTAGGGAGCGGGTTACGCACGAGTTTGGCAACAGGAGGGGGGAAAGGAGGCAACGATTGGACAGCGGAGGGAGGAACAAACAGGAGGCGAGCCTCGCAGACGGCTGGTGGGGATACTTTTTAGTCAGCGGCCGCGGGCGAGCGCGCCGGCGGCGAGTCAGGTCCAAGCGGGCTACGCAGAGACTAATTAGGCAGAGGCGGCGCGCAAGGCTGCAGCTAACGCGGCAAGCCGAGGCCTCACGCAGCGGCCCAGCGGCAGGTGGATGGCTGGGGGGACTGAAACTGAGTGGAACTGCCAGCGTGCAAAGATGCAAGTCCGTCGGAGGCGCCCACAGTCGCAAAAGAAACGCTGGTGTGGATACGCGAAGCAGCGTGAAGAATAATGCCATTAGAGGTCTGCCGTTGCCGCCCCGGGGCCACCTCGCACGCTCGCGGGAGTGCTCTCGGTGTCCGGCCTGTGGGCGACCGTGGGCGCCTCGTGGCCACCCTCGTGCGCGGGCTGTCGTGGCCAGGCGCACGCGCACTGCACCATGTGGCGCTCGCCGCGTGTATCCTGACACGTAGCTTGCAACCCGTGGCTTGTTCGACGCAGGCTGCACCACGCAGGATGCATGACGTGCGCGACTTTGTCTGTATATATATGTATATATGTGCAATGTGGAGGGGGAGGCTTTACAACGTGTAAAAGCAACATCATCCCAAACCCAACCAAAACCCAACCGAGACCCAACCAGAATGCGGCCAAAACCCGTGTAAGTTGAGCACCAGTTACACGGGTTTTGGCCGCATTTCCAACCAGAACCAACCACGAACCAACCAGGGCCATTCGGCTGGTTGGCGGCTGGTTGGCTGCCAACCAGCCAACCAGCCAACCAGCCAGCCAGCCAACCAGCCAACCAGCCAACCACCCAGCCAGCCGACCAAACGGCCAGCCAGCCTGCCTGCCAGCCTCCCAGCCAGCCAGCCAGCCAGCCAATCAGCCAGCCAGCCAGCCAGCCAACCAGCCTGCCAGCCAGCCAGCCAGCCAGACAGCCAGCCAGCCAGCCAGCCAGCCAGACAGCCAGCCAGCCAGCGAGCCAGCCAACCAGAAGTCAACCAGGGGCCAGCCAGCCAGACAGCCAGCCAACCAGAAGCCAACCAGGGGCCAGCCAGCCAGCCAGCCAGCGAGCCAGCCAACCAGCCAGACAGCCAGCCAGACGGCCAGCCAACCAACCAGCCGGACAGCCAGCCAGCCAGCCAGCCAGCCAGCCAGCCAGCCAGCCAGCCAGCCAGCCAGCCAACCAGCAAGCTAACCATCCCGCCAACCAGCCAGCCGACCAGCCAGCCAGCCAGCCAGCCGACCAGCCGGCCAGCCAGCCAGCCTGCCAGCCAGCCAACCAGAAGTCAACCAGGGGCCAGCCAGCCAGCCAGCCAGCCAGCCAGCCAGCCATCCAGAAGTCAACCAGGAGCAAGCCAGCCAGCCAGCCAGCGAGCCAGCCAACCAGCCAGACAGCCAGCCAGACAGCCAGCCAGCCTGCCAGCCAACCAGAAGTCAACCAGGGGCCAGCCAGCCAGCCAGCCAGCCAACCAGCCAGACGGCCGGCGAGCCAGCCAGCCAGCCAACCAGCCAGGCAGCCAGCCAGCCAGCCAGCCAGGCGGACAGCCAGCCAGACAGCCAGCCAGCGAGCCGGCCAACCAGAAGTCAACCAGGGGCCAGCCAGCCAGCCAGGCGGCCAGCGAGCCAGCCAACCAGCCAGACAGCCAGCCAGACAGCCAGCCAGCCAACGAGCCAGACAGCCGCTCACGTTACACGTGTTTAGGCCGCATTTCCAACCAGAAACCAACCAACTCCAACCGACCAGCACTTACACGTTGTAAAGCCACTTTACACGTTGTAAAGCCGAACTCTGGTGCAATGTGCATATACGCACACATATACACATAGCAGGCTCTCCCACTAGTGTGGCGTCAAGGCTACGTGGTGTAAGGTCAATGCTGCGGGCTCGGTGGCGAAAACTACCTGGAATACGCTATGTGTGGTAAACGGTATGGTGCAAGCGACGTGGCGCAAGCAGCGTGGTGAAAACGATGTGGTGCAAGCTGCGTCGCGAAAGCTGTGTGGTGCAGGCTTTATGCTGCAAGCTAACTGGTGAAATATACTATGCAAAACTTGAGTCAAGTCGTCAGCTCCACTGCTCGCTCAATCATCCCACCCTCCCTCCCGCACCTTTGTCTCGCACAACCCATACGGCCGCGATTGCGGTGGCTACTCGGTACTGGCTGGCGCATCTGCGGGTGCGCTGGCGCGCGCAAACTTGCGCGCAGAGCGGCCAACTGGTTTGGCACAGGTGACGCGACCGCGATGGCGCTTGTCGATGGGGACTTCCCAGCGCGTCTCAAAGGCGGGCGAGCGCGGTATCACGATGATGGCGGCAGCGGCGGCAACGATGATGATAAGAGCAATGGTGGTAACGATGATGACGGTGACGACGGCGAGATCAATGATGGCACCGATGCTGGCGATGATGATGATGTCCATGAGCCGGTGATGAAACATATTGACTCATGACGGCGGTAAAGGCGGAGATTGACGATGACGATAACGGTAGTGATGCGGTGATGCTGCTGAGGGTGAGGGCCAAGAAATGCGCGCGCTCAAACAACCAAAATTGGTGCTTCTGCTTTTCTTGTTCCTCGAGTCACGCTCTGCCGGAGCCGATCGACAGCGGACGTCTCCCCACTCGTGGTCAGATGAAGTGAACTGTGAGGCCCTCTGGCTGCTGTCCTTCCCGAGCCTCCCTCGTAAGGAGCGACGAGTGGGCGAGGAGGGGCAGGAGGAGGAGGGGGCGGAGGAGGAGGAGGAGGAGGAGGAGGAGGAGGACGAGGAGGAAGGAGGAGAAGGAGGAGGAGTGGGCGAACAGAGCAGGGGCATCCTGAGAGGCCAGCCAGCAAAGAGGGCCGAGGACGGGCAGAAGAGGCAGAGACTCAGGAGGGGAAAACACATACAGACACAAATGATCGCAGATTCCCCAATAAGTATTAGAAAATATCGGATTGTATGTATTAAGTAGGTTGTATGTATTTATGTGTGTGTGTCCCTGGGCCCCTTCAGGGGGCGCAAAGGCATCCTCGGAGGAGCTGCCTGCCCTTCCCGCGCGCGCCGACCGCAGACCGAGGACACGGACGCCGTGGGGGTCCTCTCTGGCCGCCAC